TTTTCTTGTAGAGGATAAATGGGACACCACTCCGGCAACCTCCAAACCACCGGATGACAAGACGGGCGTATATATTTTTTTGCGCGGCTTTTGGGGTTTTGAAGGGAAGGGGACGCCACCCATTTTACGAGTTCTGCATGAGACAGCCAGCCCGACCCACGAGGGAAGCTGACATGTGAATCGGCCCAGGTCGCCCCTTCCACGGCGCCAGGAGGGGTTGGAAGTAGGTGAACGCAAGGATTCGCTCAAAGGGAGCCACAGCTTGGATGGTTCTGTTCAGGTCATTCCAACTCATTTGCTGCCTAACTAAAAGGGGGCGGACTCCTATCAGTTGCGCCCAACCGAATGGCCTTGGTTGCTGAAGGGTGCCCCCAAAATGGCTGGGTTGGGTATGTTTTCTTTGGCTTGAACTTTAAGCGCAGGCGGGGCACCCGTCCGCTTTCAGAAACACTCAGCTCAGTTTGCCCACGACTCTTAGCCTTTGCAGGGAACTTAAACGTAGCAAATGTAGAAGCAGCCACGGGTTGATTTCTACCCAAAACGGCCATCGGGCTCCCTTGGAGTGGTCCAGTCTTGCTTAGATTTTCTTTGGTGGGCCTCAAATTTACGTGGATTTCGCTCGGCCAACGGGACGAAGCCTTCGCCTCAGACCCAGACATGTGGATCGCCCAAAAGTGCCATGGCTTGAGGTCTGCCGGAATCCAACTTGACTAGGTCCCCCAGCGAAAGGGTGCCCGACCTTTCACCCCTTTTTGGTTGGGAGGGTTCCCGTACTAAAACAGACTACAGGAAAAAGTTGGTGCCCTTATTCTGACCTCTCTGCCGGAGGACCTAGCTGAAGCCCTCAGGATGCTTTTGAAGAGAAAAGGGGCTCATGCCAATCAGGAGCCCAAGCCCCGGCAAAAAACAAAACACAAAACAACAGCTTGGTATTTCTCACGGAAAGAAGGAAGGCGCATTGGAAGGCGCATACCTTGCTTCAAGGGACCGGGGAGACCAGTGTTTGAAACGGGAATTTCATGGTTCATAGCAAGGTCGGCTCAAACCTTTGTGGGCTCCCCTTGATACATCCACCACCCCTGTTTGAAGTCTGACTTGTCAAGAATAAAACGGTGTGAAAGTTAGGAGTACCCGTGGTTGCGAGTCAGCCGACCGCACACGGACTGTTCAATGGTTGCTGGATAATGTGTCAGCCTTGAATTTGCACTGGGTATAATTGGCTCAACACTTGCTTCAAGCATATGTTTCGGGATGTAACACCACAGAAAGTTGTAGGGCATTGTTCTTGTTGGACCTCAATCGGCCGTTTTTTTCAGACCTCTTCAAGTTTGAACTCAACTTGCCTTGCCCCTTTTGGCATGGCACTTGACCTTTTTGGAGAAGCAAATCGTGCCACCTTTCAGCAGGCCTCTCACCCCTTTCCGCCTATTCACGGCCAGGATGTGTCCATGACCCCTCCAGCAGCTCCTGTGAGGCGCGTTTGTCTTGCTAGGTCTGCACCTCATTCAGCATGGGTGGGCTCGACATGACAGGTATGTCAAAATAGGGACCCCCCCCCAACAAAGGGAGGGGGAGGGGTCCGTTTTTCTTCTTTTCCCCCTCGAAACGAGCCCCAAAAAAGGGTAGACTCACGAAAAGAGGCCCAGATCGATCCTTTATCCCCATACAGGTAGGGTTGAGGGACGCTGAAAACAGGGTGGCCCCTGTTTACAGAGGGCTTTTACTTTTCTGGGGGACGAACTCCAAAAATCCACTCCAATCATGCCCCACGGTCCGACGGCTTGTATGGGATTCAGAGGTGCCGAGGTTTCTCAGCGGGCAAGTCACGAACTTCCCACGGGAAAGTTGTTCAGTGGCACCCTTCTTCCCTTTTTTTTGGGTGGCTGCCCCGCTAAAAATGGGTCCAAGGCCCAAAAAGGGTTCGAACCCTCTGTTTCCCAGGGTCACCTGAACAACTGAGCACGGGAAAGTTACAAAGTCACGGCCCCAGAGGGGCAACATGGTTGGTGCCAGGTTGTTGGCCGGAGCCAAAAAGGTCTTCGGGCCCATACGTTGGCGCTTTGGTTTCAGATGGGTTTGTTTCAAAGTTGGTCGGTGCTCTACTTTTGGGTTGCCTTTAAACCATTGAACAAGGGTACCATCAAAAGAGACACTCCCATATGTTGTAATTCTAACCCTAGCCTCACCCGAATATAAACCTATCCCAACCCTATCCAAACCCTTGAACCCTGACCTAACCCTAGCCCGGCCCTAGAACCTTAACCCTACCTGGACAAAAGGGGAGGGGGCGGGGAGGAAAAGGAAGGATACTCGGGCCATACTTTACACCTCGACCCTCAAACTACCCTTCGGATGGGGAACACATAAGGAACTTTATAAACATATATACAAACCTATATATATATATAGGTATATACACAACAGGGCGGTTTCCAATCTTTACGTACATTTTGAGGGTCCCTTCAGATGGGGAAACACATAGTACGTATGTATATATATATATATATTATAGGGCGATGTCCCATCTTCACGGGTAGGGTCCGGGTATGTAACATTTGTGCTGCGCGCTCTGTTTTGGCAGGCCTCAGCTCATCTCTGCCATGGGCCCGGTGGGTTTGACCGATTTCGTCGATTTGTTTTGTTATTTTTTGTTGGTTGACCCAATCAAATGGAGGTTTAGGGTTTAGGGTTTCAGGGTTTAGGGTTTTTGCGGCTTTTTTTTTTAGGCCCCGTATGGGTTTGTATTTTTTGAGGGAACCCCACAACGGTGGTTTTCCAATTTGGTTTCTCTTGAGCACAGCCCCACATAAGGATACCAACTCCCAACGACACGCCGATATCCACAGCAAAAGGTTCAAAGTCCTCCGATCAGAACCTCCAATGTCCTGATGACCTTTCCTTGGGTTTGCGGATGTAGTTTTTCTTGGGAAGGCAACATTGAGGTCGCTGCTGGTGAGTAGTCTTCGGGCACTTGCAGCCTCTTCTCGAGCAAGTGGCCGCAAGTGGCCTCGTTAAATGCTTCTGCAACCTCCCTAGAAGGCCATTTTAGTGGAAACCGAGCCTTTCATATTTTTTGGCAAATCCAGGAATGAATCCGAAGATGGTCAAGAGAATGCGAGGGTGGCACATGTACCAGGTACCGTGGGCTGAAGGTGATCCAGTTGATTCCAGCCATGCGGGCACCCGCATGTGTTTGATTTGAGTTGGTTCTACCACCTGGGAGGCTTTTGTAGCCATATTGGCGGAGCCAAAAGTCGATGGGTGTCGGGCACATGCGGCAGGGGCTGAGGTCGATAGGCGGAACCAGCACCTGCCCATCCTGTTGCAAGATATGCGTACTTGTGACTAGGTATCCTAGCCATCCTAGCGGTCAATTGGTTGATACATGGGTGTGGGTCAAAGTTAAACCACTAGGGGACCGCAGGTTTTAGTCCATGTTTCCATTTGCAGGGTTCCAGTTTGGGGACCTATTTTGACCCACTCGCAACCCCAACAGGTACTCCCTCACTTCTCCTTCTCTGGCCAAAACGAGCCTTGTTAACCCCAACCCTTGGGAGACTTTGGGGACCTGGGCTTGTGTCAGAATAGGAGTACTGCCAAAATGTGGGTTTGCCTTTTGGTTGCCTTCTAAAAAGCCCTGACAAGGCACCCGCGACACAAAGGGTGGCTCGTCTGGTTTAGGTTGGACCCCCAAATGGCGGTTGTCCATGGTCTTTTTTGGGGTGGGTGTCTGTTTTGTAGTTTGGTTTCCCTTTGAACCAACCAACAGGGGGTAGCCTCAAAAAGGTGGTGCTCAGGTCGTCTCAGAGAAGCCGCCGGACTTCAAACCGATGGCTCCATATGTGATGTCGACGAAGACCCCTACGGTGGTGATGCGGCACCTTTGGCTGATTGACGCCGCAAGCGCAGAGGAAGGCTACGTAATAAGTGGTTGGTTGTTCATGGGGCTGAAGGGGGGGGGGGGGGGGGGGAGGTGGGGGCGAGGGAGCCCAAATAAGCCCTTATTAAGCCCTTATTCAGGCCTTGTTTGGGCTCCCTCCCCCTCCCCTCCCTCCCCCCCGCCCCCAGCCCCCATGAGTTGTTTTGTCCTTGGGGGACTAGCCATGGTAAGTGAGGTTTGAGCTTTAACCATAGGTTCCTAACTTCTTGCCAAGCACCCTGCCCCTTGAAGTGTTGGATGCCGCTTGAAATAAGCCGCCAAAGCCCCCATTGACCGTTTTAGTAGGCGGTTCCTACTACCTGGTTCAATAGGCATTGCAGTAGTCCCTAGATCGAGCTAATCATGTTACCCTCCCACCAATTAACATGGAACCTGGCAGGGGGTCCCTTTAAAAGGAACACGGCCTTCCTCAGTATATCTAGAACCAACAGTCACTGAGTTTTGGGCACTGTTCATCCGGATTTCGTTCATCAGTAGGGATACTTTGATGGAACAGTCTTTGGAGTCTTGGCCGCGCAAGTTGCCATGGGGGGAGTTTCAACATGTGCCCAGGTTGTGGGAAAACACTTGGTTTTAAGTTCCGGATTTCTTTATGACACCGTTGGGAGCATCCAACTCCATTGGTCGCCGAAGAATCCCGCAACCAATTTGTGGGATCCCCTTGTTCTCATTCGGAGCTGGCCAGGTGTGTGAAGGCTCCAATTCAAGTGCATGCAGCGCCCGCTCCGCGAATAATCGGAACGCTTGACAATGCCAAAGTCCATAGGTGAGTTGCAATTCACCTGCAAAATGCGGTCCGCCTTCGGCCGGCTGGCGGCAAGAGCGACGTTTTTTTTTTTTTTTTTTGTGTGTGTGTGTGTGTGTGTTTTGACGCGTCTGGTGAATCAGCCTAGCTCAGCTGTTTTTTGAGGAAGCCTTCACACACAGAATCCCACTGTTGGCCATGACACCTTGGCTTGAAGGCATCTTTTTCATTGTACCGTCGTTCTTTTGTTTCTAGAAACCAAAAACACCTCCTGGGCGGTAATTACCATCTTGGCGCTGTCCTTTCTTGGCTCGCAGCTCACCTTACCACGACCTTACCTCCATGTCTTAGTCGTTTTTTCGGACGGATCCGCCACGGATCGATCAACGCCATGGGCCTCCTGCGGCTCTGGGCGTTGAGCGCCACGGCCGCCCTCGCTTCGGCCGCGGAGCACTGCGAGCGCCCGGCTCCGGCGCTGGGCGGCGCGTTGCTTCAGCTGCCACGGAATGGCAACCAGCCGCCCGGGTTCAAGTGAGTTGGCCCTCCCTATTTTCTAAATTGAAGATGGGGTCGGCCTGCCGTTTTCGAATGAAAAGTGGGATTGGACCCCCCCCCCCCCCCCATTTTCTGCAGAAAATGGGGTGGTCCAACCTCGCCCCCCAACACCAGACCCCTATGATGGGATTCAACAGAGAGATGGCTTTTGCCATGTTTGAAGCAGGCTTTCCGCGCACAGGCCAGTTTCTTGCCAGGTGCCTGCTTTGCTTTCATGGTTCCCACTTTTGAATGACACTTTAAGCTTAGAACTCCTGAGGGAGCTTCCTTGTGTTTGAATTCTACTATGCAGGACATAGTTACCCCGTGGGCTCAAGTCTGCCCTTCTTGGCTATGTTTCTTGTCCTGGAGCACCCAACCAAATTTGGTTGGGAAAGGACATACATACGAATCCGGTAGTTTTGAACCCTCCGCCAAGGGCTCCAAGGACCACTGGAGAGTCATACCCACTTGGACTGGATTACCCAAGTTGGACTTCCCCATGCACTTGGGAGCAGCAGTCCCTGGAAACCCTGCATCCACATTGCGGCTTGCCAGGGTTCGGTAGGGGTTTCGAGGTTTAAATAGTGGTTTAAGCCCCGGGGTCGGTGCTTGATGGTCCCTTCTAGAGCCATTAAACAAGCAGAATGGCTAGAAAGGAGGTTGCTTAAACAAGAGGTAAGAGATGGCTTTGAAGGAGCTTGCTCAAAGGGCTGGGGCCCATCCTGCCAAGGACCATCATGAGCGACGTCTATGCGCTGAAGGAGCCTACGCCGCGCGCTTCGACGGCAAAAGCTCGCCTGCTGCCTCCCTGGCAGATGGGGGTCTTGCTGATTGTGCTGGCGGTGTCGGTGGCTCTGCGACTCGACCCCAACCAGATCTTCCATTTGGTTAAGGCTATGTTTTATTTTCCCCTGTTGGTTTTAAAGGGAATCTATCACTACAATAATTATCTCGATTTTTCCCACGGGACTTAAGCAAATGGAGGAGATGGATGTGTCTTAAAATTTAAAACAGGGTACCCCGAATTTTTTGAGTGGTTTTCCTTTCGGTTTCCCTTCAAACAATTTTGGAAACGGTGAATTCCCTCAAGAAGTGCACCGCGCCCAATCAATTTGCGACACCCTCTTTTGAGGGGCATTGGAAAATCTGCAGACCGTCAAACTGCCTTGAAAGACTGAATATTGCCCCAAGTCTTGGGGTAGTTGAGGGCCCACATACCAGAATGGACCCTCCTTCCTCAGCCACTCAAAAGCATTTATGTGGAAGTTTCTAGTCATCTCAGGCCAGAAAAAGAAGGGCACCAAGAGTCCACCAGGGTTCCGGTAGAAGGATTCGTCCAAGAGCCGCCTGCATTGCACTGATTCGAATCCTCCAAATCAGCTCTTGGGCGACTGTTTTTTCACCCGGCAGCCTAAGATGTTTGCCTTCACGAAAACTTTATCAGGGATCCCTTTCTGACGCCTCCCGACTCCCCCTGGGTGTGTGTGTGTGTTCTGATCGATGAGCTTTTTCCGGGGCGGTTCTTATCTCTGAGGGTTTTTGTATTCCACCCTGGGATGACACCCTTGGGAAATGACCCAAAACGGCCCAAAATAACACAGTTTCATCCGGACATCTGCCGATTCCCAGAACCTACTGACCTCGGAAGCCTTCCGCTGGCCGCCTTGCGCTCGGCGCCCGCGCGTTGAGGAGCAACTTCTCACAGGCGGAGGTGGTGAGTTCCATCTCCTCGTGGATCTCTGGGAGCGTCTGCACCAACCTGCTGAACAAGGACCCACTTTCCTTCTAGGTTCCCCGGCGGTGTCCTTTTACCAACTCTTTTGTGGGGGAGGGTTCCCCTACTAAAATAGCCAAAACCGAAAAAAGTTGGCACCCTCATTCTAACCTCTCCACTGAAGGACCTAGCCTTTGGTGCCCGTTTTGTTGGTCTAGGGCCGACTTCAGATCTGGATGTGCCTGGTTTTGAGTCGGTGCCTTTTGTTGGGGGTTTGGAAAGGGAAGCCAAAAGCAAAAGAGAGAGAAGCACCCAATTCTTTACGGCCATTTTGGTATCGGATCTTTGGACACCTCAACTTTTTGGCGCTGAAACAGTGGTCGCGTTTTCCGTACTGGACCCGAGGTTAAACTCTTCTTGCATGGGTTACTTTTAGCAGGGGATCTTAAAGCAGCCCAGAAGCCAAATGAATCCGCCCATTTTTCAGAGTGGGAAGCAGCTGTTGTCCAGAGGCTTCTGCTTGAGCCAGTCTGAAACCTGAACACGATTCCTGGACGCTCTGCTTCTAGACGCATTGTGATCTTCCATTTGCTTAAGAATATCTTTGTTTGTTTTTTGGCCCTGGTTGGTTTTACAGGGAATCTATCACTATTGGACATATTTTTATTCTTTCCAGGGGGCTTCAGCAAATGGAAGTGACGTATGGCTTGGCCAGCACAGCTTGGGCTCTTTTGACCGAGGTTGGCCTCTTAGACTGAAAGTCAAAGGACGGTTCGGTTGGGCTGAGTTGACCATGGGTTGGAAATCCTCCAAAAAAGGAGTTGAAGTTGAAGTCCCTCACAACGGAACTGGTGAAATGACAAGCCCTGTTTGAAAGAGATTCTCATTTCAACCATCCTCTTTGTGGTTGACACATCACTTTACAATCACATGCTCAACTATTGGCAGCGGTTGCAAGCAAGGCTCGCTCAGTTCAGGCGTCTTCGTATTTCAACAAAGTAGCAGAGTAGGGTTGGTTTAGGTTGGCTTTAGGGTCAGTTTAGGGATGGAGTTGGCTGGGTTTAGTGTGTTTGTTTTTCTGTGTTTTTCTCCGGTTTCTGGCAGAATGAAGTGGATTTATTTTGCGTTGAATAAAAACGATTAATGTAGGGTTGGTGAAGGGTGGGGGGTTAGAGTGGTCAGGTTCATGGTGCGATCATGGCGCGTTCAGGATTGCATCAGGGGTGGGTTTAGGGTCCATTTCTTTCATGCGGGGAAAAAATGGAAAATAGGTGGAGGGGGGGGGCCAGATGGTGGTCTTCTTGTTTGGTTTCCCTTCAACCTCCTTGATTCGGGGGAAAAAGAAGAAGAAAAAAGCGACCCCCCCCCCAAAAAAAGAAGCAAAAAAAACGGCCACCCAGTCGGATCCAATTTCGACTCGCAGGAGGCTGCAAGCTCCTTCCAAGCCATGTGCTTGCTGGTGATCATCCAGATGTTCATCGCCAACGTCGTAGTGAGCCTCGGCACAGAGGGTATGCTGGTTTCGTTGCGTTTTGCTTTGCATTCGTTTGCATTCGTTTGCATTCCTTTGCATTCCTTTGCATTCCTTTGCATTCCTTTGCATTCCTTTGCTTGCTTTGCGCGTTTCCGTTTTAAGTTTAGTTGTATTTTGTCGGTCGATATGTGTGTGTGTTTTTTGTGTTTTGTCCTTTGCGTTACTTTGCTGGAACCTGTAAACACCTGGCTTTTGTTCAACAAAAAATACAAACTCCCCGGGGCCCTGTGGTTCTTGGAGGTGTTGGGGTTGTTGGGGTTGTTGGGGTTGTTGGGTTTGTTTCGTTGTGAATTCCTTTGCATTCCTTGGCTTGCTTTGCGTGTTTCCGTTTAAGTTTAGATGTATTTCGTCGGTGTGTGTGTTTTTTTGTGTTTTGTCCTTTGCGTTACTTTGCTCGCACCTGTAAACCACTGGCTTTTGTTCAAAGATTATACAAAAACAAGTCCGCCGGGGCCCTGTGGTTCTTGGAGGTGTTGGGGTTGTTGGGTTTGCTTCGTTGTGAATTCCTTTGCATACCTTTGCATTCCCTTGCTTGCTTTGCGCGTTTCCGTTTTAAGTTTAGTTGTATTTCGTCGGTCGGTGTGTGTGTGTGTGTTGTTTTTTTGTGCTTTGTCCTTTGCGTTACTTTGCTCGCACCTGTAAACACCTGGCTTTTGTTCAAAGATAAATTGAACAAAAAAAGAAGAAGAAAAACCTCCCCGGGGCCCTGTGGTTCTTGGAGGTGTTGGGGTTGTTGGCTTTGTTTCTTTGCATTTCTTTGCATTCATTTGCTTGCTTTGCGCGTTTCCGTTTTATGTTTAGTTGTATTTCGTCGGTCGGTGTGTGTGTGTGTGTGTTTGTTTTTTTGTGTTTTGTCCTTTGCGTTACTTTGCTCGCACCTGTAAACACTTTGCTTTTGTTCAATACTAAAATACACCAGCATAGACCCCAGATAGCACACCACGGCTACGAACCATGACGCAGCATTATCATGATGATGTAGACAGCACCATGATGATACCACAGCCACTCAGCATGGTGCGCTACAAATGCGCATACAACGTCCTAATGAGTTCAGCAGCATAATGATGATGTTGAGAGCACCATGCTGATACAGTTCTGATGAGTTCGACAGCATCATGATGATGCGGACAGCATCATGATGATGCGGACAGCATCATGATGATGCGGACAGCATCATGGTGATGCCAACAGCATCATGCTGATGGTAAAGGCAGCATCATGATGATACAGCCACGAACCATCTTGCGACAGCGTATCAGCATCATCCTGATGTTGCCAGCATCACCGCGTCACTACAACCCCAAACCATAACGCAGCATCGCAGTGACCCCAGTTCCATCATGACGTGGTTTAAACTGCATGCTCCCTAGCACCCGGCCGTCAAGCTCGCAAAACAGCATCCACCGGCACCCCAAACTGCATGCCCCCTAGCACCCGGCCGTCAAGCTCGCAAAGCAGCATCCCAAACCGCATCCACCAGCACCCCAAACTGCATGCCCCTTAGCACCCGGCTGTCAAGCTCGCAAAGCAGCATCCACCAGCACCCCAAACCGCATCCACCAGCACCCCAAACTGCATGCCCCTTAGCACCCGGCCGTCAAGCTCGCAAAGCAGCATCCACCAGCACCCCAAACTGCATGCCCCTTAGAACTCGGCCGTCAAGCTCGCAAAGCAGCATCCAGCAGCACCCCCAAACTGCATGCCCCCTAACACCCGGCCGTCAAGCTTGGAAAGCAGCATCCACCAGCACCCCAAACTGCATGCCCCCTAGCACCCGGCCCTCAATCTCGCAAATCACTTTCCACTCTTCATTAGAAGTTAGAACCCCTATAGCTTTCAGCTATCTGGGGAATAACAAAGAAAAAACAAAAAAACCTCCCCGGGGCCATGTGGTTCTTGGAGGTGTTGGGGTTGTTGGGTTTGTTTCGTTGTGAATTCCTTTGCATACCTTTGCATTCCCTTGCTTGCTTTGCGCGTTTCCGTTTTAAGTTTAGTTGTATTTCGTCGGTCGGTGTGCGTGTTTTTTGTGGTTTGTCCTTTGCGTTACTTTGCTCGCACCTGTAAACACTTGGCCTTTGTTCCAAGACAAATAACAAAAAGTCTCCCCGGGGCTCTGTGGTTCTTGGAGGTGTTGGGGTTGTTGGGTTTGTTTCGTTGTGAATTCCCTTGCATTCCTTTGCATTCCTTTGCTTGCTTTGCGCGTTTCCGTTTTAATTTTAGTTGTATTTCGTCGGTGTGTGTGTGTGTTGTTTTTTTGTGCTTTGTCCTTTGCGTTACTTTGCTCGCACCTGTAAACACCTGGCTTTTGTTCAAAGATAAATTGAACAAAAAAAGAAGAAGAAAAACCTCCCCGGGGCCCTGTGGTTCTTGGAGGTGTTGGGGTTGTTGGCTTTGTTTCTTTGCATTTCTTTGCATTCATTTGCTTGCTTTGCGCCTTTCCGTTTTAAGTTTAGTTGTATTTCGTCGGTCGGTGTGTGTGTGTGTGTGTTTGTTTTTTTGTGTTTTGTCCTTTGCGTTACTTTGCTCGCACCTGTAAACACCTGGCTTTTGTTCCAAGGTTAAAAAAGATTCCCGAACCCTATGGTTCTTGGAGGTGTTGGGGTTGTTGGGTTTGTTTCGTTGTGTTTTGCTTTGCATTGCTTTGTCTTGCGTTGCTTTGATTTTCTTGTTTCCGTCTCAAGTTCAGTTGTACTTTCTTGGTGGCTCCCAGCCATCCCCTTAGCGTTTTAGCTTTTAGTGCTTAGTGGTTGTTTCCATTTAACCCACTAAAGGTTAAACTTTTAGCGGTGGATTTGAGGGCAGCCCAGTTTTGTCGTTGTGTGTTTGTTTGTTGGCCTGCTTAGCTTGCTTGTTTGCTTTCTTGCTTGCTGCTTGCTTGCTTGCTTGCTTGCTTGCCTGCCTGCTTGCCTGCTTGCTTGCTTGCTTGCTTGCTTGTTCGCCTGCTTGTTTGTTTGGTCCATTTTTTTGCGCCATTGTTTTCTCCTCAGAACCAACAGCACCTTGTTGTTGTATCATAGGACGCAACCCCTCAAGCAAGGCCCAAACACATTCAGTAGCCAGGGTGCGCCAGCATTGCGCTTGGTATCAAAAGGCCCACGGCCGAACGCCTGGGACTTTCTGAAGGCACCCCTGGTGTTCGATGGATTTCGTTCAAAAAGAAACCCTCATGGTCAATACTTCCCGAATAGACAGTTTTTCCTGAAGGTTCAAGGTAAAACCCGCAGAGTATGGGCATTGAAGCAAAAGCAGCTACCTAGATAACATAAGCGCTGTTTGCGGGATTTGTGTGGGAGTAAAGCACCTGGAATTGGGCAACTGGGGAAGCGTATTAGGGAGCTTCATTCTGCACGTCCTTTGAACAGTTGGAAGTTTTTCTCAATTCATGTCCCCAATTCAGCGAGGTGCAAATTGCTTATTGGTTTTGTTTGTTGCGTGTTGGTTTTGTTTGTTTGCTTGTTCGTTTGTTGCTTGCTTGTTTGTTTTGCTTGCTTGTTTGTTTTTTTGTTTGTTTGCTTGCTTGCTTGTTGCTTGATTTGTTTGTTTTTGTTGTTTGCTTGCTTGCTTGCTTGTTTGGTTGTTTGTTTGTTTGGTCGTTTGGTTTGTTTGTTTGTTTGTTTGTTTGTTTGTTTGTTTGGCTTTTTTGGCTTTTTTGGCTTGTTTGTTTTTGTGACTTTGGTGTCGTCTAGTTTGCGTCTCTTCGCTTTGCAACGCTCCTGCGACGGAGGCGCGACCCGTAGTTTATAGGAGATGTGGGCTGCCTTGCTGGCTCCCCCCCGGGGAAATTTTTAGGTTAAGCTTTTCTTCTCCTCCCCCTGCTCCCCTTGCGTTTCTTCTCCGTACTGGTTGCCGTCCATGTTCTTGCCCTCCTCCTCTTTGCGGTGCTTCGTCGTGTTTTGTTGCTTCAACCCTGGTGTTCTTTTCTCAACCGTTTTTCCCCGGAGGTTTCCTCATGTTTCTCGGTTTACGCTGGATGCTCTTGTTGCAATTTTGCTCTGTGACTCCAGGATCCCGTGTTTTGCTCATGTTCCTGGGTTTCTTGCGTGTCTGTGTGTCTGTGTGTCTGTGTGTGTCTGTGTGTCTGTGTGTCTATGTGTGTCTATGTGTGTCTGTGTGTGTCTGTGTGTGTCTCTTTGTCTTTGTGTCTCTTTGTATCTATGTGTGCCTCTGTATCAATGTGTGTCTGTGTATCTATGTGTGTCTGTGTATCTATGTGTGTCTGTGTATCTATGTGTGTCTGTGTATCTATGTGTGTCTGTGTATCTATGTGTGTCTGGGTGTCTGTGTCTGTGTATCTATGTGTGTCTGTGTATCTATGTGTGTCTGTGTGTCTGTGTGTCTGTGTGTCTGTGTGTCTGTGTGTCTGTGTGTGTCTGTGTATCTATGTGTGTCTGTGTATCTATGTGTGTCTGTGTGTCTGTGTGTCTGTGCATCTGTGTGTGTTTGTGTGTTTGTGTGTCTTTGTGTCTGTGTGTCTGTGTGTCTGTGTATCTATGTGTGTCTGGGTGTCTGTGTGTGTCTGTGTATCTATGTGTGTCTGTGTGCCTGTGTCTGTGTATCTATGTGTGTTTGTGTGTCTGTGTCTGTGTATCTATGTGTGTCTGTGTGTCTGTGTGTGTCTGTGTATCTATGGTGCGGCCCCAGGATTTTGGTGCGCTTCGAGGACGTGCGCCTGCCCTGTTTGCGCGACTTCCTGCGGTGGCTGCCGGTGTCCTTCCTGGTCTCCGGCATGCTGGGCACCTCTATCTTCGCCCTGGAAGGCGGGAGACGGGGACGGGGGACGGCAGGGGATGGCGGGGTGGGGAAGGCGGGTGGAGCGAAATTGGGGGGAAGCAGTGGTGGCTTGGATTGGTAGTGGGGGGGGGGGAGGCGGAGATAGATATATATATATATATTATAATATATATATATATACATATACATATGGGGGAATCAGCTACTCAGCTACTCTTCAATTGTTTTTTCGGATTTGACCATTCCAGCTGCGTTTGAAACCAGGTTGAAGCTCGTCCCCGACGTAGCTGCCAAGCCAAAGCCACCAACTCAGGGGGAAGCCGCCGGAAGCCATAGGGATGGCACGAAAGGGATTCCGTCCAGCAGCAGGTACCCTTTGAAAGGGTTGACAAAAGCGGTTTTCTAAGCTCCATGGGTCACCTCCAGTTGGAAGGCCATAGTACGGATTTGGACAAAGACAACCATCTACCTTTTGTGCTTTAAAGCTCGTTTGGTTTCTTGAGTGGCTCGTTTGCACTGGTTTGAAGTTTGACTGAAGATGGGAGGCTGGGAGGGGTTTCATTTTGTAGGAGCCCACCTCCATGTCACCCTTGGCGCACTTTGCGAGTCGATACTCAAAAGTGTGGGTTTAAAGGTCAACCATTTATCTGCATATTTTGTGGCGAGCTCACCTGCGGGTGTATATATATATATATACAGTAACGAGCTCACTATGATAAAGGTCCTTGGGGATCCAATTCTTGATTCAGCTTTTGGAATACCGTAACATTTGCGGAGAAACAAGCAGGATGGCGATATCGTGTATTTCTTTGTGGTTGCCGGTACTCTGGCGCAACTTTGCGGTGGGTTTTTGTCAAAGGTAACAGGCACTGGTCTCACCTTCCTCTTTGGTGAGCCCTCTCTCGGGCTGGCCCGGGGCTTCGGGCAAAAGGTTGGTTCTCCAATCTTGCCGGCGACTCTTTGGAGAGAAACTGTGGTTTCCTTCGGGGAGCTCCGAAGTTCTTCTTTTTTGTTCTTTTTTTTGGGAGCGGAGGGGGGGCGGGGGAGCTTCTTTTTAAGGGGGGGAGCGTGGCAAAGGCGTTAAGCAACCACAGGGAGACTGTTAGAGCAGCTAATTGAATAAGAGGGGGTCCTTTCATCTTCAAGTCCCAATCAGACTTGAGCCTCGAAATGCAGGGCGGCATCTCCTCTTTTCTGGGGGGGGTTCTTATGTCGCATTGAAGGGAAACTAAAGAACAACCAAGGGGAAGCTCGCTACGGTCTGGTTGCGCCACAAATCACCCCACTTGCCATGTGGCGCCTTTTTTTTTTCTCCTTTTTTTGGTGGGAAGGGTTAACCAAAGCAAGGATGCCCCGTGTTTTTCCGATGGCCACTGGGCATCTGAGTCAAAACCCAGCCATGGGTGCGGATCTCGGCTATTTCTTTCACGTCAGCACGTCCTGAGCTGCTGTATTTTGTTGGGCTTCTAGGTCCCGCGGCTAGGTGCCCGACCTCGCACCCTAGGGGGGAGGGTTCCCCTACCAAAATTGACAAAGCCAAAAAAAGTTGGCACCCTTATTCTAACCGCTCTACTGGAAGACCTAGGCTTGTTGGGAAGAGCATCTCAGTGGCACGCAAGACGTACTTTGTTTGGCCAATCTACTCAGCAAGTGAGGTGGTTTAAAAGGAACATCCCTGCTCCAATGGAAACCTGGTTGATTTTGGCTAAGCCCCATTTTGCGTGGGGTAAGGGGTGCGGCCCATTTTAGGAGATCCGGGTCGCTTTCCACTTTTGATCGAGTTGCTTCCGGATTAAAATGCTCCGTTTCTGCACAATTTCCGGGGTCAACATTAGAATTTGAAGCTTTGTTGATGCGGAACTGCCAGTTGACTAGCCTAGGTTCCCCAGTAGTGCCCTTCCTAAAACCTTTTTTGGTTGGGAGGGTTCCCCTACTAAAATAGAAAAAACAGAAAACAAGTTGGTATACCCTTATTCTAGCCTCCCTACTGGAGGACCTAGACTAGCTTTCAGCTTTCTACACCGCTCCTTCGAATCCTTCGAGCAACCGCCACTGCTGGTAGACATTTTGGTATCCGTAGCAAAAACAAAATTGGCGTTCCAAGTTGGCTTCTTGATGTGCGACGTATTGCTCTTGTTATTGCTGCTGTTCTTGTCAATTGTCGTAATTATGGTTGCTCTGGTTTGTGTTCTCATGTGTTTTATTCGGCCAGCTGGTGTAGGGCTTGTTCGGCTTGCCAAACAAGGGGTCGGAATGAACCCTCAAGCAGAAGGCTTTGTTACTATTTTAGGGCCATGGAATAGTTTGCTTGTTTTTGGGGAAACAGAACCTTTTTCTCTAAAAGCGAGAAGCCACCACTGAACATGTCCAAATAGGGAACCCCTTTTCTGGAATCCTTCACATTTTGAAAGGAAGCTAACCACCTGCAGGGATCCCTCAAATGAGTCTCACCCAGGTTGTTTTCGAATTTTATTGTTCTTCTTGGTCAAGAGGCAGTGTCTTTTTGAGTTAATTTGCAGGCAGTGTGACCCCCTTTTATGAACTATGAACCCCTAGTTTCTTACTTAATGGGACATATGGCTGTATTCCGGGCAACTAGCTCCCAAGGGCTCCAAACTGGCCATGGGTTCGGACACATGCCATGGTGAAAATGTCCTGTTCTGCTGCAGGGTGATGGTTTTTGGCGGCAAAATACCCGGCTTTAGCCCAGAACTCGTTTCTTTTGCGATGACTAGCCGTCAACCTAATTCATGCCCCGAAATCCGGCCAGCAGTTGCTGACATCAGTAATGTTTGCCAGTGTAGACTCTCCAAAAGCATTGGTTCCCGTTTTCTACCTTTCGGGTCACTGGTTGCAGCTAGGCACCACGGTCAGCACGGTGAACATCATCCGCAACGTGCTGCCTCTTATCACCTTCGTCCTGGAGAAGATCATGTTCAACAGTCCGCCGCTGGTGCGGCCCGGGCACGTGCTGTCCATGTTCCTTACTCTATCCCGGGGCGATGGGCGATGGGGGTGGGCGGGCTGCGAGTTGAATTTTTCATGCCCTACCTGGCCAGAGCTGGCAAGCTTTGAGCTTTTTGTTTGTTCGTCACTGGGAAGAAACCTGAAACTAAATTCAGGGTCGGAGTTGGGCCTACTCAAGAAGTCTCTCAATAAGTACTGCTTAGTGTACTGGTTTAGAAATGTTTTTGTCTTTCTTCGCTGGCCCAGAACTATTCAGATGTTGGTTAGTATTTCTTTGATATTCCTTGGCACTGGCCCAGAGATTTTTTTTCGCTATCTCCTCCCCTTAAACATTCATGTTGATTAACTTTTCGGGGCTTCCCCGTACCGCCCCCTTGAACATTTGCCTGAGCGGCTTTTGCTTCGTAAAGGGTGTTATGAAGAATTTGGATGTGTGGGACCTCAGTTGGTTTTGCAGGCTCAGGATTGGGTTTGTATTTGGCTCAGAAGAAATGAGTATTGGTGTGGTCCTGGTTAGTAGTAGCTTAGTTTTAATTTAGAAGTCTAGTATTGGTGTAGTATTTGAGTAGTATTGGTTTAGTATTCGGTTGCGATGGCCCAGAGTGCTGTATGCTTCCTTACTTCGTCCCCTTAAACATTTATTCCTATGTGTAACTTAGTATAAATTCGACATATTGGGTAGTATTGGCCCACTGGTTAGTGCTGGCTTAGTACTAGTTTAGTACTGCGAAAGTTCAGGCCCCATTTGTGGCCTTGGGGCTCTCAATTTGTGGCCATGAACCGGTTGCTTTTGTTTCCTGGGTGGGATCCCTCAGAAAAACGGTCCGCGTCGAGTCGTCGAGTCGAGGTCCGAAAATTTCGGGGTACTTGGGATCACGATTTTTTTGTTCTCCTGTGTGTTGCTGCTTTCTGGGAGCCAAGAACTGCAGCGAAGCAACTCCTTGTGCCTTAAGGCCCGTCGTCACCTCCATGTTGGTTTAGGACATGCGTATCCAGTCTGCTCAGCAAGTGGTCTGGACAAAAGCATGCGCTTGTGCAAATAGCCCCTTAACCCGCACTCCAAGGCTTCTATGTAAGGTTCAGCCAAGATTTCCGGAAGTCTGTGGTCCATTTTGGAGGGACACGGGGGACTTTCTGAATGTCCCACAATGCTAGAGGACTGTCTCATTTTCCCATGTCCTTGAGAGTAGCAGTCAAATTTGACCCCACAGTGTCAGTTGAGGTTCCTGACTTTGTTCGGCACCACGCTGTATGGGATGTCGAACTTCTCGGTCACGCGACGCTTCTATGCAGTGGCATTTGTGTTGCTTTTGTGAAGCTCCATACTGCACCTCATACGTGCTGGCAACTCGAAAAGTCCTGGACACAGCAGGCATGCTAGCTACCTAATCCATGTCCTTGCAGAGCCGTATCCCCGACCATAGTTGGTTGTGTATTGGGAAGGAATAAACGAGTTCCCAGACCCTCAGACTACCCTACAGTACACAGTTGGAATTCACCCGTATTTTTGAGGCAAGATCCTTTGTTTGAGGGCAGTTAGAGGGAGGTGCCTTGCTGCATCCTTCGCCTGGTCACTCTTGTTTTGGGCGAATACGAAATCTCTGGTGTGCCTTTTGTGCCCACAACAGCTCAACTCGTGTTTGGGCGTGCTTGCCTCCCCCTTACTCCTTTTCGGGAAAGGGCTTCCTGTTTGAGTTCCTGGACAGGGCTTCCGTCACTTTTTGAGGTAAACAAGTTTAGATGCCTGGCCAATGCACGGAAGAACTTTCTTACTTCACTCAAATTGGATCGGCGACGGGAGATCTCCATCTCAAGTTCCGTTCGGACTACAAGTCTGAACTGTTTCTGACCGGTCTGCGAAGCTTTGGTGCATTTTGCTTGGCTGTTAGGACTTTAACTTTTTGCCAACTAATGGGGTTTCCACTAAACCACTAAAAGTTATTCGCTTTTAGCAGGGGAGCAGAAAGCAACCGAGAATTGAAATGTCCCACGCCAGCCCCAAATTCTATCCACGAACGGACTCAAACTCTCAAGCTCCGTCCAGCCGGTCACGTCGAGCATGTTTTGCCCCCAAACGCCCGTGGTATGATATCCTGGAGTTCGGAAGCAATAGGCCTGGAGCCCGGGATTGGAGGGCTGGGAGGGGGGCTTAATATCCGTGTCCGGGAGCTTGCGTACAGGAAGCTGAGAAGCGGTCCATTCCTTTTGAGGGTTCTTTGGCGCGAATTGGGGTTCCGATGCTGGCGATGAGTTGTTGTCCGAGTGAGACATGAAACGTTGCATTTCGAGGGATCTCTGCAGTATAATTACCAGTTGATTCCTTCGGGGGGCTGAACCAAGTGAGAACCCCAGGATATGACGTCAGTTGACAAATAAAGTCGAACTAAGTTTGTAGGTGCTGTTTTTTGTGCCCACCTTCCATTCATTACATTCATCATTGCAAGCCTAGGATCTAGGCTCATCAAAAACAAATCCCTTTCAGGTCCCTTTAGGTCCCCTACCCAGTTGCTCAGTGGCTTCCGCCCTTTTTCCAACTTGTTTTGGGAAGGGTTCCGATTGCCTCAGGTCAACCAGCCGAGAAAAAAACTCGGTTCCCATTTTTTCACTTCCAGGTGCTTGGGGTGGCAACCCGGCCAACGGCCAACCTCAGGATATAGCCTCGTCATGATCCTCCTGGGTTGCATCCTCACGGTGGCGGACAAGCTCCTTCAGCGGCATTTGCTGTGGAGCGGCTCGGGGTTCCAGCAGCCGCTGGCCGTGTGCATGATCATGACGCCTGGCAAAAAAAGAGCTGTGTGTGTTGCTTGGTTTTAACATAATATATGTATATATGTAAATAATATGTTTAATCTATCCGAAGCAGCGTGTGTTGTTTGAATGTGCTTTGAATATATATATATATATACATGCCAGATGTGTGTATATATATATAGTATGGAGTGGCGCTATGTTACTGGGACAACGTAAGGACTAACCAGACCATGAAAGCTGGGGCGGGCCTCAAATCTCCCCGGACCACTGAAACTCTCAAGATGTCCCGCGGAGACCACACCAAGTCCGGCTATATCTATAACCGTATTCGGGTTTCCCTAGGGGTACTACCCTGTCAGCCAAAAGGAGCTTGTTTGAACAGTGGCGTAGGCATGTTTTTTTGTGGCAACAAGGCTTCCATGGGAATCCCGCTCCCACTTGTTGGTTGTTTCAAACTTGTAAACATCACCTTTTCGCCTTTTGGTGGGGTGATGTTCGGAGGGGAAAGGATTCTCCAACTCCTCTGACAATGCTTTCCTTTACCTGGAACAAGATGTCCCATTGACGCATGGCTATGAATTTGAATTGGGAACCCCCTGGAGAATGGTTGGACATAAGCTTTCACCTAAACTCAGTTGTTCAAAGCCGACCTTTTGACCTTTTGGTTTTCCCTTTTTGGTCTATTTTTAGTAGAGGTCCCAAAAGGTTAACCTTTTATTTGCAGGTCCTTTGGGCAAGTGAGTAAATGATGGCCAGCAAAGGGTCCCCAATAAACAAATGATACCCACATGAAAGAGCCTCCGGAAGGTTGACCGGGTCCATTCCGTTGGCAAGTTTCAGGGTTCCAAACTTGCGGGCACCCCGTGCTTTTTGACCGGATGGCTTTGGGAAACCCGGGGCCCCCGGTGGGCGGACTCCTGGAAATCAAGGGGTTACTCCCCACTTCTGTGATACAAGGGAACCTTCCCCTTGTTTATGGGGGGTTAGTCTTTGGGAAGCCATTTCTGTTGTATCACAGAAGTGGCCATTTTCCACAGCCCTGTTTGCAAAGGTTAGGGTATCCCGGACAAGGCACCGGCGTACTTAAAGGAAGAACCGGTTCCTACACAAGATCCTCTAACTCAGCTGATGTGGTTTAACTGGCCGGACCCTGAATCCAGGTTTCCTTTATTTGGTCACCATGAAACATGACGTTTTGGCCAAGAGAGCTCAACTTGTTTCAGGTAGAGCTGACCAACATGGTTGTGGAATATGGGGCTTTGGGTCTTTGGGTTACCACTTTCTGCGGGTCTCAAACATACCTGTGAGCCCACTATGTATTGAATGGCCTTGGTATTTTGCGAACGCATGATTTTAACAACACGTTGCTGGTTCTGACCGTACCTTCATGCGTTCCCCAACTTCCTGCAGTTTGAGATGAAACCCCAAAAGCATCCCATGTTGTGGAACGGGATCTTCTCTTACGTTTCTGGATTTGTTGTCAATTTGCATGGGAGTGCTAATGACCCCGAATCAATCACTGATAGGGGAGGGTGTTGTTCCTCCAAAAGTGAAGGAGATCTCTGAAATCCTGGGTTCGAAGGAGTGTTTTTCCTAGGTCTTGCATGAATAGTTTGCTGCAATGGGGATAGGATCGCATCATTGAACTCATAGGTCCAACAAGAGTAGGTTTGCCTCAAAAAGGGAACACCCAGCCCGCCAAGGATGGCTTCAAGGTGATTTCTATTTTCTCACTCCCCGAGCTGGGCTCTATACTTGGAAGACCATTTTGGTGGCAATCAACAGTTTTTTTCTTTTTCTCTTTTCGCCCCTTCCACTGGACCGGAAGTGAGTTTTGGAGGTCTCTTGCCCTCCCACCAGCTATCATGGAAGTGCACACTGTAGAAAGGCTACTTTCCTCTTGGAAAGGGTCTTTTTGCACTTCCATGTTAGTCGGTGGGAGGGTATGGAGCAATGTAAGGGAACCGTGGGCAGTTTTCTATGTACCCCTAGGCCCCTAGGCTTATAAATTATCCATGGTTCCCCATGGTCCATACCTGAGGATCCTATCCCAGTTAGTTGGGAACGACCTTTGTGCACATGTTAGTTGGTGGGAGGGTCAGGTTGTTGTTGTGTTTTTTTTCTTTCGCCACTCGACCGGAAGTGGGTTTTGGAGGTCTCTTGGCACCTTGTGACCCCTAGGAACAACACCTTTGGCATGCTGCCCCTGCTGCTGGTGGCATCTTTGACCGGGGAGACGGCCAGCTGGCCCCAGATCCTGCGCAGCACGCCCTGGTCCCCGGGCTGGGTGACGTGTCTCGGCGGTCGAGAGCGGGCAGTGGGCGATTTCCTTGGTGTCATGAGGCCTAGGTTCTTCCATTTGGTTAAGATTTATTTTCCCTGTTGGTTTGAAAGGGGATCTATCACTACTGGAATTATCTTTATTTTTTTCCAGGGGACCTAAGCAAATGGAAGGGTTGCAGTAGGCCATCCCTAAAAGACTCGCGCTCTAACATATGGCTGTGATTCAAAACCAATTGTACCATTTTGGGATAGGTGCACCGCCCATTTTGGTCTACTTTAGTGGGGATTGGGATGTTCACTGGGGGTACGGCATTTTGACCCAAGGCCATATCTCAAGTGACTTCAAAGAGACACATAGAAGGATGGCATACAGATTCAGAGCCACAGTGGGGAGCCACTAGGGGCAGTCAGGATCGTTTAGGGCCATAATCTTCCAATGGCTCTCCTTGGTGGTACATTTTGTTATAACTGGCTATCTTAGTTGGATCCTTTACTTGTCACATGAAGCTTTAGGAGGAGCACACAGGGTAGAAGATATTAGGATGCCCTTTGCAACATGAACACTCTGGTTTCACCATGACCATGTGATCTTCTGCCCTTAGATATGAAGGGACCCTTTCTGGTCGATTTTCCACGTACCTTGCTTTCCTTGCACTTTGTTTGCTTGCTTGCGTGCTTGGTTGGTTGTTTGTTGTCTGCCTGCCTGTGTGCTTGCTTGATTGCTTGTTTGTATGGTTGGCTGGTTGGCTGGCTGGCTGGTTTCGTGCTTGTTTGTTTGGTTGTTTGTCTGTTTGTTTGGTTGGTTGGTTTGTTTGTCTTGTCTTAAACAAATGGTTGGTGTTTTTTTTCCCCGCTTCCTCCTCCCTGCTTGTGTCCCTGACTTGACTTCTCTGGACCACTGTCTGTCTTGCCGTGTCCTTTCCTTTCCCCCACCTCCCTCCCCGTGAAAGGAGACATGGAGGGTACCATGGGGGGGAGGGTACATGGAAAGGGAAAGTTTCGATCATTGCCATGTAGCCTCACCCCTCCCGAGAGCCAAAATCAACACTCGGGCAAGGAGTAAGAAGGGCACTCTGCTCTCTGAATTCCTGACATAGCTTTGGCTGAACAACTTCACCCAGCTTTTGCTTATCACTCTCCCGGCCCCAACCTTGCCCCCACCCCCCCTTCCCCCCCCCACCCTTCCCCCAACCCCATCTCCCCCACCCCCTTCCCCCCCCCCCACCCTTCCCCCAACCCCATCTCCCTCCCCCCCACCCCATCTCCCACTCCCACCCCTCCCCCCCCACCCCCATCGGCCTCGCGCGAGGCTGGTGGGCTCCGGGCTCTCCGGCTGCTGCCTCGGCTTCTACGGGCTCCGCGTCTCGCGCCTCGTCTCCGCCGCCTCGGTGCTGATGCTGCAGAACGTCTCCAAGGCGCTCGAGCGCCGGGCGCGCGCGCGCGGCGGCTCCCTCGAGCGGTCGGCTGAGGGGGGGCCCTTGGGCTTTTGTTTTTTTAGGTGGGGCACAAAAATAACTACCACCTGGTGGATTGTGTGTGTGTGTTGTTTTTTGTTTGAGAGGTTGTTGTTTCTTCGTTTGGAGCCATGTTCAACAAAACCGGATGGTAAAATCACTTTGAGTGGCTTCCCAGTTTGTCTTGGGGGTTCCAAGGGATTCAAATCCCTGGGCTTGTCCAAGGCCAGGTGCCCTTTAAACTTTAGGGGGTTTCACCTTTGTTTGGTATATCTTTGGCAGATCCATATTGAACATGAGCAATGCCCAGCGGTGATTGGCCTGTCTTCCTTTCAAACTTAGGTGGTTTTATGAGTATATATCTGTATATGCGGTTGAGGAGTGAGGTGTTTTAGGTTGATTCTGCAACTAATGGGACACCCCTCCATCCACCAATTAGTGGGAAGCTGAATAAACACCGTTTTTTCCATATCACAGCGGCCCCAATTTCAAATTAGAATAGCCCAATTTGAAACGAATACTAAGCTCACGGTTTTTCCCCCCGACCTCCTTTCCGGTCTTATTTCCGGATCCCCTGCCATCAGTCACCCAGCCCCGGTGTCTTGCATCCTTTCAGACAGATGTAATTTACTCGTCAACCGAAGCCATCCAAAAGCATAATGTTTCAGGTCTCCTTGTTTTGACCCGTGCTCATGTACTTTGTGTACTACTTTGGTTACGTGTACTGCATTTGTAGTGAGAGTTGCAATAGTAGACACGCACGATAATCTCAGCGATGAAGGTCGCATGGCAAGTGGAATTTCAGACAACCGCCATATGGTCAACTTGAGAGACCCTTGGGCCACCATACTCATCCAAGGTAACACCAAACGAGGGAGGGTATTCTAAGAAGGGTGGTTCCCCTTGCTGCACTTTTCTCCGTTTTAGCCAGGTGTTGGTGAGTTTATTGTTTTGTATATGCTGCTTTCTTCTACGTGTTGTTTTTTCTTCTTTTTTTTTCTTCCGCAAATAGCATTCAAACAGGGGTTCAAATGAGCGGTGCCCCTAGGCAGGTGACCTACTTGGGCTGCAGGTGCTGGTAATTGTGCGGTCTTTCTGCCTTTGATTTTTTAGGCGCCCCTACCGTACATGTTTGGGGGGGATCCCTGCTTGACACACACTGGAAAAGCATGTACACACCGGTTGTCATTCCCAGGTATGTTCTTTTTGAGGGCACCTTTTTTCGAGGCGTTCCAAAAGGAAGCCGATAGGAAACCACAATTTTGAAGTCCCTAAAGAAAAAAAAAGGCAACACACTCTCCTCCACCATTTTGGTGTCCAAGCAAAAAAATGAGCCACCCCACCCTCCTTGCCATTTCACACCATCCTCCACCATTTTGCTGTCCCTACAACAGATGACCCACCCTCCAAAAAAATGACCCTCCTCCACCATTTTGGTGTCCAAACAAAAAAATGACCCACCCCACCCTTCCCATTTCAGGTGCTGGTGATTTTGCTCTCCGTGCTGCTGCTGGGGGACGACATCTCGGGCCTCTCCGCGCTGGGCTGCGCCTTGTCCGTCGTGGGCTCCGCCTGGTACGGCTACGTCTGCCTCTGGGCGCGGGAGGAAGCGGCGAAGGCGGGAAACAAGACGGGGGTGGCCAACGGCAGATAGGAATTCTCATACACATATATAAAACGGCACATGGTAGACATTTTAGAGGGGTATTGTACATATATATATATATACATATTATATACACACATAGATTCATCATGTGCAAACAATAAATGTATAAACTCATCATTTATTTGATGCAGACAATACATGTATGCATGATTATACATATATATATATATATATGGGTTGGAATGTCAATGGATAGGGGATTATGTCCAGAAACCACTTTTGAAGGGGGTCCAACTCCTATTATATGTAGAAAATACATATACAAGTATCTTGTAGAGAGCAAAGATGGAACACGTGAACCCCAAAGTCTCTGGTTCACGTGGCGGAAGGCTCTCAGACATCGCAAAAGGTTTTTGGGGGTTCCATTGGTTTTTTGCACCCGAGGGGGGCCTTTTTTTTCTGGCCTCTTGGGGACGAAAAAGGCATATATCGTTTCTTTTCGGCTTCCGTTTGAAGGTTTGGCGCCCGGTGGTTTGGCGCCCGGTGGTGTCTCAGTTACCTTCCCAAAGGGACCTGAACCACACTCAGCCAAACCACCGAGCGTCCATTTTTTTTGGGGGGGGGTTTGGTTAGAAATAGACGGGTTCCACTGGATTAGATGGGTTTTACTCCATTCACCATCTATTTTTCCAGAAGGCCATACTATGCCGCCAAGGCTGGCTTTGACAAAAGTGTGAGCAAGGAAAAGATGAAAACATCCGTTCGGGTGGAAGGTGAAAGGACTGTGGGAAGAAGGACAGGTTGAAACCATCGATTGCTGAAATGGCTTTTCCTGCGACATGCGTTTTGGCTTCAGGCCGAGACCGAGAAGAATCGCGGCCAGAGCTGAAGGCCAAAGGCCTCGGTAGGAAATTTTCACAGAGCGAATCGCCGCTTCGGATTTTCCAGCATCTCAACCGAAGCTCGCAAGCGGCGTTCGCACACGCACGCGCGAGCGACAGGCGCTGGTGCAGAATGTTTGGCCTGTTGGATCTGGGTGTTTTGTATCCCGGGGCGTGGGCGGGTTTCCGTTTCAACGTCAAGAGTCAGGGTTCCCTTTTTGTTGCTCCTTTTGGTGGCTTGAACTTTCACTCCTTGGCAGGGTCAGTTTAAAGTGATTTTTTCTTTTGGTGTGATGTGAGCGAGGGAATTTGGAGCCCTGAGACTGTTTCGTTGCTGCGCTTTGACCCCTTTTCGTTTGCATGAGGCTCGTTAAACCCACACTTAGGTTGTATTGATTGTTGGAAATCGCTTGCCCAAGCTGATTTGGGCACGTGTCAAAATGGGGGAGCCAAAAAAGAGTTGTTTGTTGGCTTTTCTTCAAGGTAATGTGAATAGGGAGCTTCAAGGGAACAGACACGCACACACACACACACCCATCCGCACTCATCCGCACCCACCAGTGCTCACCCCCCTTTCCCCCTTGCCCCGCTTTCAGGTCGGGCTAAATCAGTGGCACACGTTGGGCCCCCTCTTTTCGAAGAAACAAATCACCCGCCAAAGTGACGCTTTCTGTAAACCCAGCTCTTCGCAAGGTGCTCTTTTAGGGCTCCCCCTTTTTTCAGTATGTCTCCAAATAGGGACACAGACAAATGGTGGTTTTCCATTTGGTCTTTCAACCAGCCCCAAAGTTGGCTACCCACAGAGGCACACTCATATACTACAATCCCAACCCGCCATTCTCCGCGTTACCCACTTCACTCACTTTGGAAGGCGCACTCAACTCGGGCAAGGGTTTATAGCGCGAACCACCTGATTTAAAGTCGACATCGAGCAACCAACACCGCCCTCGCAGGTGATCAAAGAGAAAGACTCGCAGAAGCTGAAGATGTGCAAGACCGTGCCCAAGGCGCGGCCGTCTGGGAAGCCGCCCAAGGATCTGACCATGTCTTGTACCCGTTTTGTGTGGGCCAGGTTTTGTGCCGGTGATATTTTAAAGGGACATGGGACGTCCAAGAAACACCAAGAAACACGGCAAGGAACCAGGACAATTTCAGGGGCAACCTTTGATTTGCGGTCGACTCTATGTTTGGGGTTGCAAATGAAGCCTTTGGACCCGAGCAAAAAAGGAAAGCGAGACGTCTAAACGGAAAACCTCAAACTTGTTGCTTTAGAACCTACATTGTTTTTTTTGTTTGTTTTTGTTTCTTCTCGATTTTCCTGGATCCACTTTTGCTCGCACACATTCTGACGCAGGACTTGGATTGAAAGCCGCGCGCTTTTGCGAGCGCGCAGTCCCGCTTTTCTTGTGGCGGGCGTGGTTTGTGCAATGGCACCAGGACGCACAATGCACACCATTCCCTTCCTAAAGGTCCTAAGGCCATCAACTGCCTGAATTTCCATTGGACTCCCGTTTCCAGTATATCACCTCCAATACACAAGCTGTTGCCTGGATTTCCGTTGGGCTGGCCAAACCGTTTTTCCATGTAGGTCCAATCCTGTTTGTTTTTGTTCCAGACAAAAAGTGGAATTGGGGCTGCGACCATTTTCATTCACTATAGGGACAGCAAGAAAATTTTGGAATTGGCAAGCTATTGTGAGGCTCTACTTGTCAGGAAAACCCTTTCTTGGTGGTTGGGATTTGTGGTTTGGATTTGTCCCGATTTTGACCCCCTGGTGCGTGGGGACAACTGGGAAACGCACCTCACCTCCGAACCAGTGGGCTGCACCAAACGAGGGAAGCTGACATTGGCTCATTCGCCAGGCGCGGGTCCGAAGCGCCAGCAACGTGATGGAGAAGTTGAGCGCGCTGCAGGCCGGGCAATGCCTCACGAAGCGTCAAACATGGGGCTTGGTTGAAGGAAAACAGCCCATTGCCAGGCTTGTGCCTCGGCTGTTTGCACTGTTGCCGATGTGAAGAGGTTTCCTTCATAACCCTTTTTCACCATGGACAAGTTATCATTTTGCAGGACAAATTCTCGCCAAGTACAATAACTTTCCAACGGGCACCTTGTCTGAGTAGTTGCTTCCTGGCAAGCATCAACTATCCTGTGGCATTTGCATTGACAGGACAAGCAAAGCAACCACAAGCGGGTTGTTCAGAGGGTGGAACGGTTCCCCAAAGTGATCCGAGAAGATCGGCGCAGTTTCGCCTCAACTGAAAGTCACCTGCTTCAACTGTCCAACTGTTGAGAGATTCCCGTTTCGCCATTTGAGTCACGTCCTCCAAACCCGGGTGCTTGGAGGTTAGTAA